ATCGATCTGTCTGGAATGGTAGGACCTAAAGGAACATATGTTCTAGCCAATATAGCTCGTTTGAGTCATATCGATATGCAAGACCTACCTCCACATCAAGGTAGCAGGCACATTCAACAAGGTATTGACCTACAAGGTTTCGAAAAACCTTTCCAAATCTGAGCAGGCAAAGGTCAATAGTCATACAAGGAACCATGACATTACATTTAGTTTAGCCAGAATCAACCTAATTGTCATCGGCTTGGCATGGCACAGTTGGACATACTGTTTGGACTGTAAAATACCGGTGCGTGTAATATTTCTCGACTTTGCGAAAGCCTTTGACACAGTACCCCGCGCACGCGTAATCGAAATGGTTGTGGAAATGGGCTTCACTGACCAGCTACTATCTTGGCTCAGAAACTACCTTCAGAATAGAAAGTTTCGCACCAAGGTAAACAGAGTGCAGTGAGAGTATCCACATCGGGAGTTTCACAGGGGACCATCCTAGGCTCACTTCTCTTCCTGATATTAATTAATAACCAGTTAGGCTTAGTTAGTTCACCGGCATTGATCTACGCAGACGATACGAAGATCTGGAGGTCTATTAGATGTGAAGAGGATTCGACTGAGCTTCAAAAGAACTTTACATCTATTGAGAAATGGGCAGTGAAAAACGGTTTAAAACTCAACCAACCGAGGTGACACATCATGCATTTCCTACCTCACACGAGGCAAACGATATACACCCTCAATGGAAGTCCGCTCCATAATGTCTCCTCAGAGCGCGATCTCGGTTTAATAACCACAGAAATCTTCACATGAATCCGAACTGTGTAGGGGACGACGCCAAGGCAAATGCAAATCTTCACTTTATGCGAAGACAACTTGGTGCTATCACCCCAAAATTATTTTCGACACTAATTAGGACGTATGCGCGCCCACACCTGGAGGTCCACAATGTCATCACAGCCCCTCTGCTCAAAAAAGACGTAAATCTCTTGGATCGAGTGAAGAGACGAGCAACCAGATCGGTGATAGTGTTAAAAATTAAACCCTACGATGATAGACTCCAGCTCTTGGGATTATTCCCACTGAGCTATAGGAGAACCAAAGGTGATCTGATTATGGCGTACAACATATTAAGCACGACAAACCATCCCAACGTGAGCACCTTACCGATGCATCACCACCACTACCCTCGAGGCAATCCTCGAAAGATTGCACATCAAACAGAAAATACTCAGATTCGTGCACACTTTTTCTCATTGAGGGTTGTCGCAACTAGGAATGCTCTCTCAGACGAGGTGATCACAGCCCTCTCAGTGGACTGCTTTAAGAAGAGACTTGATAATCACGTACTCACATACGGACTATCATCTCCCTCTTGGACAAGCTGTTCATGATGCATATCTTGAGACCTGGTAGTTGTTACCATTGCCATCTCTTCAGATCACTTACTTAATCTATCTCGCCTGTCATCTCTGTTCTCTTCCCCATGCTTACACTATGGTCCTCTATCACAACCTTCACTACCTATTAACAAACTAAATTCATCTATATATTACTCAGTTCTGAAATTTTATTCATATTATCATTTTAATTTATCCTTATTACCCTTATTACTATCCACATTGCAACTAACTGATCTCCGGTTCGGTAATGTGACGGCTGCTAGTATCCAGAAACCCTACTGCCCTGAAACAAACGTTTTCATTCGAATCCCGAGAGATACAAACTCACAACCAACTGCCAACTGACTGGAATTAGACAGACGAGTGGCTAGACCTCCATCTATTGGACATTACCGAACACCTGGAACCGTACCGAAAGAACAAGGATCGAGCGCAAAGAAATTAATTGTTTTACACTAGCTCGTGAAAAAGATCTTGGATACTGAACAAGGAGCAGTAAAATTAAAATCAGAAAGTTGGTATCATGTGAAATCGAATGCTGATGACTGAGAAACATAAAATAAGGTTACGAGTGTCTAAAGGGACATTTGAATACAAGACATGATCACAGTGCAAAGAAGTAACAACACAGTCCAATAGACGTGCAGGGGGATTTTCTTTTGAGAGCGTTAACATTAAATCCAACAACTTCATGTGTGAGGATTAAGTCGTACTTCTGACTGCAGAGTGGTGTGACGTCAGTCCAATGGTTTACCCAGAAGCCTGTATCTCCAGTGATTCTTTCTTCTCACAACGTCACGAAGGGGTTAGGAAAGCTCAACCATAAGAAGGTCGGACCTCACGTCAAACGATGGAACAGAAATACTGTCACTAAGAATGCAAAATATTCGTAATTTACTAGTATTCGATCATTAGTGTTGTCAAGTTTGCACTTGAAGTTCTTGGTGTGAACAACGATAGGTAGTGGACCTGAATGACTATAATTCGGCCAACCATGACCCAAATAATTCAAACGCAAACGAATTTCAGCGGGAACCGAATGAATTTGTCCAAAAACACCATATAAATTTTTATGCACCCAATGAACAGCGTTACACCTTTAATTAGACGAATCACATTATCTAAAATTGTTTCCTTCACACTCTGTACCGGTATCCACACAAATCTTTCCGAACTGAAGTTAGTTTTTCAAGTTATCTATTTAGGAAAACGCCGGAATTATAAAGATGAATCAAAGCTTCCTTAATCATCCATTTCTAATCATTATCATACTATTTTATTTAACCTCATATATTCCTATTTCTATTTTTTGCTATGTTTACAAAGATATATAAAAGTTATTCAAGTTGAGATCATGATGATCTTCGCAATAAAATGCTGAATGAAAAGTAGAATAATACAAACCAATATGAATTTTATCACTGGAAGTCTGCATATTCCCCCTTTAATGTATTCATAAGTTTGGATAGAACAAATGCTGAAGTATTTACATTTTTTGGCGACATTATTTATCAACAAGTTGAATTCTCTAGATTTTCAGAACTCCTATAAATTAAGTTAATAATATACAAGACGTTTACTTTATATTTTAAAACCTTTAGTAATATTTTATACTCAACTACATAGTTAATTACCTGGTGTCTTGAAATAAAATTGTCACAGGGAATTGAACAAAGCTATGTAATAAAGAGAGTAAATAGCATCTGCCTATCAGTTTAAACTTGCAGCACAAAAGCTTGACAGCTCAAATGTTCCCACTAAAATTTATGGTATCTTTCGACGTTTTATCACTCTTCACAAAAATCTCTCTGGGAGAAATGGCTAAAATTATCGGCAAAACTCCTAAGTCCTTACCTTTACCAATCAATCAATCCAAGCAGCTATTCTTCAGGTGTATCAAAAATATACAAACCCAGTCCAATAATATGTTGCATAACGGAATTGATGAAGTCGCCGTATGTAGTCCGCTGAGACCAATTCTGCCTGATGGGGAGCCTGAAACAGACGAATCTCATGCACACAACTGAGGAAGCTACATTCTATTGAAGATAATGCATCTATTCAATTTATTTAGCAAACCACACAATTATGTAAACTTTACTACGGAACATGGTGTAAAAGGTAAATTCCATTTCTTAGATGTTGGTAATAAACGAAATTCAAATGGAAAACTACAGAGACACATCTATAGAGAAGGTACATGTAATAGAGTTTATCTAAATTACAATAGACTCTCTGTTCAATCAGTTACAGAAAGGGGATCGTACAAACCTTTTTGACTAAGTTCATAAACTATGGAAACATAAACCTGTCTATGTAAAAGTGCATACCCACCGAAATTCATCGAGGACTACACCAAACTCATTTGCGTCTCTGTGTTAATGTGGCATGGCAACCTGAACTGATGTACATACGTACGAAGTTCTACGTTGCAACTGACTGACTGACTGATACCAAACCCAACTTATGAGTCAAATAGGATACAATGGGAAAGAAAACACGTTTCTCTTATCAGCACTTCAAAGGAGATGAAACTAATAAAATTATTAATCACAAGATAAATGTCACGATGAAGAGTGTTTATCCAGCAGCAAAACCTCTGACATTATGTCAAACATCAGTATATATATATATATATATATATATACATATAATGATATTTTAATTCCTTCCGCTATCAATGAGTAGTGTCTTCAAATATATCACAACTCATTGCTACATTACTACACATATATAGTTGTAAGCAGATGAGAAACTACGAAAATATAGTGAATTTTCATAATATTCTACCTCATTTATAGTTCTGGCCTTATTTAAATTCATAAAAGGAATAAAAATGCATGAAAGTTAATATTTCTGACTTAAATATCAACGTTATATGGGCATGTACACCATAAAATAGCATATCCAGAAAAAAGTCAATATCGTAAAACACATTGCTAATAGATTAAAGCTACATAACAAGTGAATATTATCTAAGCTGTATTACTCTAATTGACTGAATAATAAATTTACAAATTCTCAAAAACTGAAGTAGAATGTTCTTTTAGTTTAGTTTACACAATTTAGAACAAGTCAATGACTCCATAGATCATTGTCATAGTTCATTTTAATAATTAGGGGCGGGGGGGGGGCTATAGCAGTTGAGAAGAATCTATGTCTCATTTGTGTGAATTCGAGTTGAGGTCACTAGTGATTTACTTATTGATAGAAGCAAACATTTATTAAAAATATATTTCTCTGATATACAAATAAACAATTTCTGAATAATTCACTAATAACCAGAAATGAAATCTACAATATATTCTTCAATTTGTTACCGATTTGTCAACTTTGTTAAGTGTAACAATGAATTGAGCCTAGTAGCATTCATCATATTAAATAGTTTGCACTATCAATCAGGTTAGTGAGTTACTACGATGATGTGTCAAACTTTTGTTTTCAATACAAGAAAAATGATTGTAATATGAGCTTTTTACGACATTGGATTATAAAACTTAATATATTAGTGAACATGATTCTTTGTAGAAACGCTAAAGTCAGTGGTTCGGCTTTATTCATCACACAAATCGACAAAAATAGACAAGAATATACGAAACTATGATTATAAAAATTAAGTTATATTTAATAAAGTAAGAAATTTATACATAAGAGTAATAAACCTTTATAAAACAAAAAAATCACATTGTTGTTGTTGTTACACTTTCACCAGTAGGTGTTTTACTTTCATCGATTAGATTAGCAAATGTTGAACAGTAGCCAGAACTAGCATGGGCAGCTAAAAGTGCAGAGATGCATTGATCAAATCGATGAGCTGCAGTTAATTTTTCCGGTTCAATAGGTGTTCCCGGTTGATAAAATGGTGAACAAACTAAATTAATGTAAGCAGCGTGTAGACGTTGAAACATTGCTCGAATATCTACATCTCGAGGATGTGTTTGATGAATCGATACATGCGATTGAATGGATTGAGAAGACAAAACATGTGACTCGAAAATCATAATAAACTATTTGGAAGTGATTAGGAAAAATGATGAGGAGAAGAAAAAAAAAAGATAAATAATTATTACTATTTTCAAATTGAAGCATATTCAAATGAGAATCTGATATGATGATTTCAGTTATTGAATACTTTCGACTAGAAGGATAACGTGGATCTTTATTTCCGGGTAGAATAAATTTAATTCAGTTTGAAATGTGAGTATGTACATGAGGCGAACTGTTATGATATCATTTTGAAAAGATAATTAGAATTTCATTTTCCGGTTTTAAAATTCACCTTTTAAGCTACCCACACATCTCTCACTACACTAGATACGTGAAAAGTAAAATAAATTACGGTTATTTTCAGTAGCCAGGTATTTGAATATTTCTTTTCCTGATTATACAATTTAAATTTATTAAACATCGCACAAATCCATGAAGTCACTGACAAGTGGACTGAGTCATGTTGGTAGATGTAGACTACCTGGTTGGGGTCCGCGAGACGAAAGTCATCAATGGTTAGAGACCTTGAACGACATGGCTCAAAATCGTTTGCAATGGCGCAGGTGCATCCACTCTTTGAGCTCTCTCAAATCCTAATCTTCTGGATTCGTCAATACCTCTGCCTTTGTCTTTATAATCTTATCTCACTGAATTATATTTTTTTGAATAATATCTTCGAACTCTAGTCTTCTTTATTAACATTAATACCTCTACTATCTTTATCACTATGGGATTTGATTTGACATTTGCGTCTCTGTGCTAATAATGTGGTATGGCAACATGAACTTATGTACATACGTACGAAGTTCTACGTTGCAACTGACTGACTGACTGACTGATTATACAATTAATTAAGATGAAATTACACTGCAAAGTATACATCACCGATGAACTTAGATTATTTTTAGCAGATTAAAAGGCAATCAATCACCTTGATGAATAAAGTGAAAACAGAAAGTTGAATACTGGCTTACTTGTAAAAATACTTCAATGATTTAATTAACAAGATAATTAGATGATATTTTCATTTCAATTTATGAGAATTACTAATAACATGAATCTAAATTATTCCAAGTTTTACCTTACATAGCAGACAGTTGAGTTAAAATAATTATTTCAGTACTTTTAGCATTACATAAAAATAAATATTATTCAAGATATTTTAAATTATCTGCAGATATGCTGTTTTAGTTTTGTTCAAAGTGTATGCACAAAGTGAACAGAGATGGGTAAAGAAAATAACTAAATGTCTGTACTGTAACATTGATTTAGAGGATGTGGCACTTTCTAAATTTAGAAAAAAGTAACAAATTCAATGTCAGAATTATTAGTATGACAACTTATGTAATCATTTAAATAGTGTATTTGAACTGACAGTGGCGTCTCTGTGTTAATGCGGTATGGCGACTTGAACTGATGTATGTACGTACGAAGTTCTCTAAGTTGTAACTGATTAACTGCTATTGATATCAAATTTTTGCAATAAACTTATTAAAAGAGAAAGATCTTGAAAACATATTATGTTAAGGTGTTTTAGAGTTTAGGGGCACAACAGATAATCCGTCTAAAGGTGGAACCACATATTCGACTAATAAGCATTTTAGAAGAATCTTGTATCATGAAGTCCTCTATAAAGTCTATGAGAATAATGGTGTTTGAAAAATACATTGTTTTAACATTTTGCTAGAAAATTCAATAAGATTTTCCCAAAGTATACAAATAGAATTTATTGTCATTATAGGGTTGTGGAGATTTCTGAGTTCCATCGGAGTTATGAACAGATCAAAGTTAGACCAACAGTGGAAATCTAGAAGCATTGGATAACCGTTTCGTTCTTGCATGGGGTTCATCAGGGATGCGTATCCTAGACTCCAGAAGCCGGAATGGGACCCAAGATCTTCGGTCTCGTGCGCAAACACTCTTGGCTCAGTCAGTCAGTTAGTTACAACATAGAACTTCGTACGTACGTACATCAGTTTAAGTTGCCATACCACGTTAGCGTCGAGACACAGTTGTCAGTTCAAACAACATAGTAGTAGAGCTAGTAGAAGTATTAGGAGTAATCAAAAAGATTAATGATAAAATATACCATTCCAGATGTATACCCCAGAGGAATCAATATAAAAAAGAGAAAAAACGGTCATGAGGAATTTAGATGATTAGGATTTGAGAAAACAATGGATGAATGCACCTGCGCCATTGCAAACAATTTTGGACCATATCATTCAAGGTATCTAACCATCGATCATCATCTTCTCGGGACCCCAACCAAGTAGTCTGTATCTACCAGCATGACTCAGTCTACTTATCAGTAACTTCATGGATTTCTTCCATGTTTTGGTTTGGCCGCCCCTAGCTTTCTTCCAACCTACTCCTACACCACAAAACATATCTCATCGAGGCAGTCGGTGGTTAGGCATTCGTAACACATTTTCCAACCACCTCAACTGATGAAGATTCACTACTTCATCTATTGATCTGACATCGCTACCTAGGACCCGTTTCCTAACAACTGCAATGCTTACTTAATAGTCCCAAGATAAACGAGCAATGCTTCGGAGACATCTATGATCGAAAACCAGTAACATACGAACATCTACTCTGAATGGCCATGTTTCGCAGCCACTAAGTAGGACGGAGCAAACTATTGCACAGTACACTCGTCCTTTGGTTAGCAGACGGATATCTCGCCTACGCCATAAGTGACGCAGGTTGGCAAAAGCCAATCGAGCCTTCTGTATCCGAGCTGACAGTTCGTCAGTAACCAGGCCATCAGAACTGATGGGACTCTTAAGATAAATGAAGCGGTCGATACTCTCCAACGCTTCATTCCCTAGCAGTAGTCGAGAAGTTAAGCATTCGTTAATGAATCCCATGCTAAGACAAAACAATTTTCCCATGTTTCTCCGTTTTCAATGGTGGGCTAACGTTAATCAGTTCATGATTTCAGTGATATAGAATCGATCGCTAATTATACTCGTCATGTAAGTTTCATTGATGGCTTGAAAAGCATTAAAATAAACTTTTCTTTACTGCGTTAGGTTTGACTAAAAAATATCAGTGATGCCAAAAAATTAATTACATTGATTTAGTATTTATGAAAATTATTCTTGAAAAGTAGACAATATACAATGAATGATGTTGAAATCTGTGAAAACTTCTTTTTTCACAATACTGCACACATACCTTGATTTTTGTATTAGTCACGTAACCATAAATTCTGTGGTCTTCCATAGGATATAAAAGTCCTAAATATTGTTCTAATTGATCATGATTACCACTAGAAGTTGTACGTTTGCATAACTTGTCTTCTATAACATCCAAAGCAGAATGTGCTTTAAAATGATAAAATAAAGGATCAGGACACTCAGCAGTTCGTAAATAAAGCAATTGGTTAGTATCGGAAATTACTGCCACACATGCAGCCATTTTTAAACTGTTCAAAACTTATCTGAGAAGTATATCATAAAATAATTGGAAATAGCAAATTTTTGTCTTTACACAACAATGAAGATTTGATCATCTAGCCTGAAGAAATAAATAAAGTGAGTGTAAATAGGTTAGGAGAATTTCTAATTCAAAAACCAAGATTGTTAGCATAAATTATTTAAAAAGAGATTGAAAAAGTTCCTAAGCCAATACTATTTACAAACAATCAACGAATTGCTGAATACAACAACGCAAACCACTCGTATACACGCTACACAAGCGAATACTTGCTGCGGTGTGGAAAGAAGTCAATTCATGATGATGGATTAAATCGTTGTAATTTATTTAATTCTGTAGTAAGGAAAGTGAAATACAGTTACAACTGATTAGTTAGTATATACTACTTAATATTGTTTGCGTTCTCAACCAACAAACTTCAAACGTTTATTTGGATCCACTGTACTTGGTCACTGCTTTCGTGCCTTCAGATACAGCGTGTTTTGCCAATTCACCTGGCAGAAGTAATCGGACAGCCGTCTGCACCTCGCGGCTTGATATGGTCGACTTCTTATTATAGTGAGACAGTCGGCTAGCTTCTGCAGCAATACGTTCGAAAATGTCATTCACGAATGAGTTCATGATTGACATTGCCTTTGATGAGATACCTGTATCAGGGTGGACTTGACGGAGAACTTTGTAGATGTAAATAGCATAGCTCTCCTTCCTCCTCCTCTTTTTCTTCTTATCAACCTTTGGCAACTTCACCTTTGACGCTTTCTTTGCGGCCTTACCAGACACAACTTTAGGAGGCATTGTTCTGTAGACGAACGATGGATTAAAACGTTGTAATTTATTTAATTCTGTAGTAAGGAAAGTGAAATACAGTTACAACTGATTAGTTAGTGCATAATACTTAATATTGTTTGCTACACTATAAAGAAAGAAAACTCAGTACTCAACAAAGTTAGACTTCAATGGGTTAGATTGACATAGAGATTAAAGAGTAAGCGTTACTTTTTTTCATTCATCTTGGGTATCAATTATGTATACGCGAATTAGGGTTAGTTTCCAGTAATGAGAAAACCAAGTGTTTTTAAATTTATCATAAAATCTACTTATTAAACTGCTTAGAGAACGAAATGAACAGTCTGTAATGCGCCTTCATAGAAAAAAGACATTCAATACAATTAAAGATATAGAGAAACAGTCTGTATTGACTAAATAGACATAGGTTAAGCAAATTGTATATGTGGATTTATACTTTAGAAGAAATGTGGCTGGCGTTATATTTAAAGATCATTTCGAAGGAACGGTTAGGTATATATATGATGATGAAAATCATGTAGCATACTATTATTGCCCACTTACATGCTTTCGATTATGGAGTAAGCAGCAACTACTAACTAGTTTTATGAGGATAGATCAGTTTAACTTCTATTTTCAAGGCAGCTCTTTTGTTGCATCCGAAAGAATTTCGCTGCATGGTCCTCCAAGAAATAATGCATGTCACTAATATCTGCACTTAAACATGTAGTAGTGTTAGTCCGAAATTAATTCTTTTTGACATTATTTATGGTACCCAGGAAATTATGAGAGGCTTATACCCAATCTGGTTTAAAATGCCAAAGCGTAAGTTACCTACAACTTAAAGCGAGAACTATGTGTATAAAGACATATTGTTAGATTTCTACGATTATAACATTAGTTTTGTGATATTTTGATTTTACTTATAGAAATTTTCTACTCTTTCCATTTTACCAGATTACTAATATGAAAATACCTTTTACTTCGGATTGTTGATCGGTATTTATATTAAGAGACATTCAATTCAACATAATGGTTGTAAATTTCGTAAATTATATCATTTACAACTATTTACGAAGCCAACTTATGATCAAGAATCACTCCTAATACCCTGATAATCATATTTTGTTCATAAACATATACATATACATGGTTCGGCCGATAGAGAGAGTTCACTCTCACTATCCAAATACTCTCATATGGCCACGCGTATTTGACCAATGTCAGAGAAATCTTATTACCTCCTCTTGGCGTGCATGCTAACAAAATTCGGAGGACAAGAAGCGGCTGGTGCTGCAATCAGCTTGATAGGTACAAAAAAGTAACCTAGAGGAGTTGAAAAACCTGATTTCAAACTAATGGTGCACATGGGCTCTAGAGTCCCGATCGAACGAATGGTGTACAAACCTACCGTTGGTTACTGCCTACCACGAAACTCGATCTTCTAACGTCACTGTCCTGCTCTGTGGATTAGACCTCCAGGTCAAAGGCTTGAAGTGCCCTCCTGAGAAATGCACCTTCTTCGTTTTCGGCACTCAAACAATATTACAGCTCTTACAAATCCAAGAATTTGCGATGAACATAAACATTTAGAAACTCTCATAGAGTTAAGGAGATTTTTGAGTTTCATTGGAATTATGGACAGATAAATGTTAAACCAAAAATGAAAACCTAGAAATATTGGATAACCGTTTCGTCTTTGTACGGAGTTCATCAGCAATGCGCATCCTAGAGTCCGAAAGCAGGAATAGGACCCAAGATCTTCAGTCTCGCGCGTAAACACTCTTAGCGCAGTGGTCAAGGGGTTAAGCAATCATGAGCGAGACCCTCTTGGAGAGCCCAGGATGTGTGTTGCTAATGAATTCCATAGTAAGACGAAATGGCTGTCAAGTGATTTTAGCTTTTCAATGGTGGTATAACATTGATCTGTACATGAATTTGGGGAAAATGTGTACAATATATATATATATATATATATATATATATATATATATATATATATATGATGCAGGATGACTGAAAAGCTGTTTCCTGTGGTTTGCTGGATTCTGGTTACCACCTTACACAATCAGCTTGATAAAAAAATTAAGAGACCCTGAGAGTCAACAAGTGTATGGGAAAAGGCATACAGTCCACCTGCAAGAGATTCGGAGTAAGCTCCTACCCTCAAAGACTGTGATTTAGCGGCTGTGCAAAGTACCGTAGGTTAGAGAAGTTGAAAAAGAGTATATCAAGATAGAGTGAGAGCTGATGTCTCAGTAAGAGCTCATAAACCGCTTATATTTGAAAAAGTAACATCACAAAACTACGACCGTCCGATTGGTTACGTGAGTTACGAATTGGGCGCGTTGATTTACTTTGTTTCGGCTTGTTCCACCAACGGAGCGAAGGCCGCCAACCAGTATTCTCCAACCTACTCTGTTCCGAGCTTCCCTTACCAGTTCTTTCTAATACTTGTTCATTCTTCTCATGTCTGCCTCTGTTTCTCGGCCGAATGTGTTCCTTCCAATATATATCCAATATCCAATATCTTTTTTCACGAGCTAGTGTAAACCAATTTGATTTCTTCGCGCTCGATTCTTGTTCTTTCGGTACGGTTCCAGGTGTTCGGTAATGTCCAATGGATGGAGGTCTAGCCACTCAACTGTCTAATTCTAGTCAGTTGGCAGTTGGTTGTGAGTTTGTATCTCTCGGGATTTGAATGAAACGTTTGTTTCAGGGCAGTAAGGTTTCTGGATACTAGCAGCCGTCACATTACCGAGCCGGAGATCAGTTAGTTGCAATGTGGAGAGTAATAAGGGTAATAAGGATAAATTAAAATGATAATATGAATAAAATTTCAGAACTGAGTAATATATAGATGAATTTAGTTTATCAATTGGTAGTGAGGATTGTGAGAGAGGACCGAAAAGCAAGCAAGGGAGAAGAAACAGAGATAATAGGCGAGATAGATTAGTTGAGTGATCTGAGATGGCAATGGCAACAGCTAGCAGGTCTCAAGATATGTATCATGAACAGCTTGTCCAAGAGGGAGATGATAGTCCGTATGTGAGTACGTGATTATCAAGTCTCTTCTTAGAGCAATCCACTGAGGGGGCTGTAACTACCTCGGCTGGGAGAGCATTCCAAGTTGCGACGCCCCTCAGTGAGAAAAAGTGTGCACGAATCTGAGTATTTGCTGTTTGATGTGCAATGTTTCAAGGACTGCTTCGAGGGGAGTGGTGGTGATGCATCGGTAACATGCTCACAATGGGATGGTTTGGTGTGTTTCATATGGTATACGCCATGATCAGATCACCTCTCATTCTCCTTTAGCTCAGTGGAAATAATCCCGAGAGCTGGAGTCTATCGTCGTAGGGTTAATTTTTCAACCCTATCACCCATTTCGTTGCTCATCTCTGCACTCAATCCAAGAGATTTATATCTCTGTTAATCAGAGGGGGTGCGATGATGTTGTGAACCTCCAAGTGTGGGCACGCGTACGTTTTAAATAGGGTCAAAAATAATTTCGGGGTTATAGCACCAAGCTGTCTTCGCATAAAGTGAAGAGTCGCATTTGATTTGGCTGCATCCCCTACATAGTTCGGACTCGTGTGGAGGCTTTCTGTGGTTATTAAACCGAGATTGCGCTCTGAGGAGACATTAGGGAGCGGACTTCCATTGAGAGTATAGGTGGTTTGCGTCATATGTGGGAGGAAATGCGTGACGTGGCACTTCGGTTGGTTGAGTTTTAAACAGTTTTTCACTGCCCATTTTTCAATAGATGTAAGGTCCTTTTCAAGCTCAGTCGAATCCTCTTCGCTTTTAATGGACCTCCAGATCTTCGTATCGTCTGTGTAGATCAGTGCCGGTGAGCTAACTGAGCCTAGCAGGTCGTTAATAAATATCAGGAAGAGAAGTGAGCCTAAGATGGTCCCCTGTGAAACTCCCGATGTGGATACTCATCAACTCGTGTGCACTCCATTTACCTTGGTACGAAATTTTCTATTCTCCATGTAGTTTCTGAGCCAAGATAGTAGTGGGTCTGTGAAGCCCATTTCCACAACTTTTTTGATTAGAAGTGCGTGGGGTGCTGTGTCAAAGGCTTTTGCGAAGTCGAGAAATACTACGTGCACCGGTATTTTAGGGTCCAAACAGAATGTTCAACTGTCCGATGCAATGAGAAGATTAGATGCACACGACCAGCCTTTTCGAAACCCGTGTTAAGCTTCATTGAGTATTTTATTCTTATCCATGTACCCCTCATTTGTTCGTCCACTAGTCCTTCCATAACCTTTGATAATATAAGTAGCAGTGCGACTGGTCTGTAACAGACCGGGTCCTTTCTATCTCCTGCTTTGAAGATTGGAGAGAGAGTAGCATGTTTCCATTTAGCTGGGAGTTGGTGTGACTCCAGTGAATGCCTGAACAGGTTGCATAACTGTGAACAGAGGACTTCAGCACACTGTTGCAAGACTATAGGGCGGATATTGTCACAACCTGGTGACTTACCTGGGCGTAAGGATTTTAGTTTCTTTAATACTAGGTCAGGAGTGATACCGATGTTCCCTAAGCCGTCAGCTGGCATTGGGTTTGCGTAATACTCGGAACATGTAGATGCTTGGTTCAATTGATCAGCACAAATGGGGTGTAGAAGATCTCGGCCATCTCTAGGTTCATGAGGTCTTCCCCGTTGGGTCCTTTTAAAGAACACAATCATTGATTAGTAGGTTTTCTTTTGGACATGAACCTGAACGGACGTTTCGGGTTTGCCTTTATTCTGGTGGCTAGCTGCGTCTGGAATTGTCTCCTGTCGCTTCGAACTTTGGTACTGCATCTGTTTCTCAATGCCAAGTAAGAAATGCAATCGGAATGCTTCAAGGAGACCTTCCACTTATGTCACGCTCTCCTCTTCGCCTTCAGCAAGCGTTCACTGCCGCGCCTAACCCAGGTTCTTCTGTTCTCACGTTTTTGGTGTGACTGAGTTACGTTGTCTACGACAGCGTTTTAGATGATACCTCTCTCTGCATGCCAGTGATCATTTACTATCAGCCTCCACCACTCCCGTGGCCATGGGGCATGTAGGAGCACCTCTCTCATGCGTGTGTAGTTTGCCCTACTGTAGCAAAGGTAAGGCTCGTTATCGTCTGGTGTCAGCGTTTCGTTTGTGACCATGTTAAACAGGCCTGTGCCATGGTCACTACTACATATTGGAGCCCGAATGTGAACATCCTCAACCAGGAGCTGGTCATTCGTTAACAGATAATCTAGTTTTGACGACTTCCCTTCCTTAGTCCACCTAGTGGCACTGCGTACGTGCTCAGTCAGCCCAGAGCTTCTAATGGCTGTACCAAGTTGTCTTTGGAACCAACCAGTGGGATTGATACTCTGATTGCTGAGATTTAAAGATGGGGTATTGAAATCTCCAGCTAAGAGTATTTGACGAAACCCTAGGAGTGGCAGTTGAAGTAATACTTCAGTCAGTTTGCTTTTCTGGGCCTTAGTACCCGAAGGAGGTCGGTTAGTTGGCTGTCGTATAGTCGCTCTGCTTTTAAGTTGCTATATATATATATATATGTATATCACCACTCCACCTCCAGTTTGGTGTTCCCTATCTTTTCGGAAGAGTGTCATGCTGGTAAGCTCACTTTACGTCTGCAATGTCGGTGGATAGCTATGTTTCAGTTAAGATTATGATCTTCAGTTTCATCCGAGAGCACCTAGTCCTGATTTCTAAAAAGGGGTTTAGTAAAGAAGAAATTTAGTAGTATATAATAAAACTACAAGGAATAGAGCCTGAAAGTACTCCAAAATTGCAACTTTACCTTTGACCATATTAGTAAGTAACTTTGCGTGTATCCAGTAACTTGTCTACAAGTCCTGTGTTTGTGAGTAGGTGGATATATATATGCTGCCGAAGAAACTAGAAAAAAAGCAGTTGAATGAGGTAGCTAGACCTACCGCGCAATGGTTCTGACTTGGAATGGTTCCGTATGCACGAAAATGTTTTCATATTGTCAACCAATGAACGGAGACAACTTTTTATAGCTTCGTTGGTGATAAAGTGTCCCGGAAGTGGATCGTTTCCCGCGCCTTGGTCTTCCTCTTTTCCTTCGACCTTGGGGGTTCCCATTGAAGTCTAGACTTGTGATGCAGTTGGATGCATTCCGCAACGTCAGCCCTACCCACCTGCAGCGCTTTTTCCTGATTTATTCGTCCACTGGAATCTGGTTTGCTCTCTGCCACAGTAAGTTGTTACTGATGGTGCCTGGCCAACGGATGCGAAGTGTTCTGCATAGACAACTGTTGCATACTAGTATCTTCTGAAAATGGCTATCGTAGTTTTCCACGTTTCCACTCCATAGAGTAGAACTGACTTGATATTTGTATTTAAAACCCTGACTTTGCTGTTTGTTGACAGTTCTTTTCAATTCCAATGGTTGTTCAGTTTTAGAAATGCAGCCATTTCCTTCCAATATTCAATATCTTTTTCACGGACTAGTATAAACCAGTTGACTTCTTTGCGCGCGATTCTTGTTCTTTCGTTACGGTTCGAGGTACTTGTTAGTGTCCAATGGGTGGTAGTATAACCATGTAACTGTCTAATTCTAGTCATATGGCAGCTGTTCGTGAGTTTGTACGTCCCGTGATTTGAATGAATACGTTTGTTTCAGGGCAGTAGGGTTTCTGGATACCAGCAGCTATCACATTACCATGTCGGAGGCCAGTTGGTTGCAAGGTGGCGAATAATAAGTAGAAACGCTGGATGCTAATATGAAGAAGATTACAGAAGTAAGTAAATAAGTGGATAATTAAGTTAAGTGATCAGTAATGAAGATTGTGTGAGAGGACGTAGCTGTAAGCGAGGGAGAGGAAACACGGATAATAGGCGAGATAGATTCGGTTAGTGATCTGATGAGATGGCAATAATAGCAACTAGCAACTTTCGAGACACGCATCAGTCAGAGTTGGTTCAAGTGCGATATGATAACAGGTGTGTT